CAAATACATTCTGACAAACAACACTCGAGTAAACAGAGTCAGAAGCACTAGAGTCAACAACAGCATACATAGCATGAGGAGTTCCTAAGAGATCAAGCAACTGAGAAGCAGTCATGCCCCAAAGAGCGGAGCCGTACGTCTGAACAAGAGGAAACCAGTCAGGGGCAGGGCCGCCAACGCCGAAGGCCAAGCGAACCGTGTCAGTGAGCTGAGCAAAGCACTGACCAGGAGGGTGGGTGCGGCCACAAGGCTGGCCTCGGCGAGCACCTGTCAGAACCTGATAGGTGCACAAAGGGTGAACAACACCTCGCTGGGGCTGACGCTGTCCTGGCCCCGAAACCTGCTGCTGCCGCTGCTGCTGCGGGGGCTGCTGCAAAGGGAGGGGCTGCTGCTGCTGCTGCTGCTGCTGCCGCTGGGCCAGGTACCACGCCGCTGCTCCACCCACCGCAGCCGGCAGACCAGGAGGAGGCTGACGAGTCCGGGTGTCGCCTCTACCAGCTGCAGTAGGGGAGTCACTGGCCGCTGCACGAGACGCCTCTCCAGGCCCTGCGCTCCCGCCGCCACCGGTCAGCACGCCACCCCCACCACCTCCGCCGCCAACGCCGCCACCGCCGCCTGCACCCTGACCGCCCCTCCTGCCACCCCTACCTCGAGACCGCGACGAAGTCGTAACAGTAGCTGCGGTCACGTGAGTAGTGGCAGTGGCTAGTGAGGCAGTAAAAGTGGGCAGCTGGGGGACAGTGCACCCGTGAAACAGTGGAGGGGGTACAGCACCAGAGGCGGAGGCTACGGAGCGGAGGTTGCTCTCGACGTCCTTGAGTGCAGACTCAAGGACCTCGATAGTGAGCTCACTAGGGTGCTTCAGAAGAAGCGTGTCACGAACCGAGGCAAGGCGGTCAGGGAGGCTAGTGGCAATGAAGTAAATAGAAATCGCTATGGGAGGGGGAAGCAGTGCAAGCTGTGCGTCAGTGCAAGCAGCGCGGTAGCTAGAATCGAGCGAGCGGAGGTGAGCAATCAAGTCAGCAGAGCGCTCAAACGAGGCGAGGTCAGGGAACAAGAACGGTAGGAAGAGGCGGCCAAGAGAGACAGTGGTGGGAGTAGCGTAGCGGGCCTTGATCGCAGTCAGGAACTCACTAGCAGTGCGAACCTGAGTGAAGTGGGCCTCCTCAGACTCAGGGAGGAGGCTGCTAAGAGCGATGCAGGCAGCAGCGTCACGCGACTTCCACGCCGTCAGGTCAGCACGCTGGCGGGTAAAGCGGTCTCTGGCAACGTCGTCAGGGGCAGGGCCTAACGGCGTAGGGTCGTCGGGCGCAGGAAGGTCACCAGTAGCGTGCGCCCAGAGGGACTCACCCGCCTGGACCTGACTCTCTAAAAGGCGACGCGCGCGTAGGAGCCAGACCGGAAACTCGAGCGGTCTACCGTCAGCGTCAAAACGAAGAACCCTAGGGGTCGCCATAGCGTAAGCGGAAACGACCAGTCCGGCTGCGGGCGGCACTGGTAGGGCGGCTAGGGCAAGTCCGTGGCAGATGCAAAACGCAGGCGCGATAGGCGCAAGGGGTGTGGACTGAACGAGTAGGTGCAGTAGTGTGAAGGGAGGGCCGAACTAGTGGGCCCGTAGCGGTCCTAACGAGGAGGCGCGGCGGCTGAAAGGTAGGGCCCGTGGCGGCTAGAAGGGAGGGTCCGCGGCGGGTAGTACGGGCAGGCGCAGCGGCGAGACAAGCGAGCCCACGGTGGGCCTAACTAGGAGGCGCGACGGCGGGTAGGAGGGGTAGGCGCGGCGGTAGGACGAGCGGGCCCACGGCGGGCCTACCTAGGAGGCGCGACGGCGGGTAGGAGGGGTAGGCGCTGCGGCGGGACTAGCAGGTCCGCGGCGGGCCGAACGGGCAGGCGCGGCGGCAGGCGCGGCGCGCGAACGGGCGTGTAGGGCAGCGGGGGGAGGGCGCATCGCGACGAGCAGCAGGGGAGGGGACGACGGGACGGGAAGAGGGGGAGAGCGGGACATGACGAGGGGCAGAGGAAGGCGCGACGCGACAGGCAGCGGGGGGAAGGCGCGAAGTGACGGACAGCGGGGGAAAAGCGCGACTCGACGGGCAGCAGGGGGGAGGCGCGAAGTGACGGGCAGCGGGGGGAAAGCGCGACTCGACGGGCAGCAGGGGGGAGGCGCGAAGTGACGGGCAGAGGGGGGAAAGCGCGACTCGACGGGCAGCAGGGGGGGGGAGGCGCGACGCGACGGGCAGCGGGGGGGGGGGGGGGGGGGGGGAAGGGCGCTACGCTACGGGGAAAGTGGGTCGGCGGAACGGGCGGTAACGAACGAACGGGACTAGATCGCGCGGGCAGTAACGAACGAACGGGACTAGATCGGGCCGGCGCTAGGCTCGGGCAAGACGGGCGCAACTAGTACGACAGTGTGAGACAGGCTCGGGCGAGACGAACGAGGACGGGAGGAGCGGGATCCCACAGGATCCTAACCTAGGTGATACCATGTCAAGAATAGAAGTGTTGGTGTCATTGATGTGAGTTGGGGTACATATGACAAACCCTAACCTCTGTACCCCCTAAGACAAACCTCACTACAGGCTACAACATTTGACAGTTATGTCCGGGAGAATACGGTATACGAATTTTTAAATTTAAGACACCAAATTGTGACACGACTCTCCGAGGAGTGTGCAGTGCAGTCGTCATAGGTACGAATGCCGTCGCTTTTGACGAGTGAGGAGCGTAATTGAGGACGTGCAGGAGGTATGGGGGCAAGACTAATGGTTGCTGGATTGGCCTTGAGACGAGTGGTATTACCTTCGTCGAGGTTCTCAACGTTGTCGTGGTCGTCGTCGTCGTCACCCTCAGGATTAAGAGGAGGAGGGGGAGCGCGGGGACGGGCTGCTGCTGCTGCGGCAGCTGGACGAACAGGATCAGCTGTTGCTGCGGCTTCACCGTTGTTGCCGCGCTGAAGCGCCGCGAGAAGGCCGATCACGTGGCCGATTGCGTCGTTATTATTTGCTGCCGCTCCGGTGTTGTTTCCAGTGTAGCGCGCCGAATAATTCTCGGGTACACGGCGCCCTGTAGAAGCGCTGGATCGCGCCATAACGCGTTCGCCGCCAGTTTCAGTGAACATTCGCCTCAGATTCTGCTGGCTGGCGGGGTCAAGGCGAGCAATGATTTCAGCGATTTCGGCAATCCCAGCTGCCGGATTCTGCGGATCTCGCTGCTCGCCCTGATTCGCGCGCCGATTTGAAGAATCGGGGCGGTGATCCTCGCGTGCTGGCTCCTGAATCTGACGCTCGCCACGCGCAGGATCCCGCTCGCGACTTGCACGTGCAGAATCGCGGTCGCGATCTGCACGTGCAGAATCTCGCTGATTGCAATTTGCACGTGCACAATCGCGATGATTGCGATCTGCTTGTGCAGGACCGCGATCATTGCGGTCTTGTGCTTGGATTGCAGGACCCTGGCGCGCGGGGGCGTTTTCGCCTGGCTGAGGCGGGTCGTTGGTTGCACGTGCAGCTCGCCCCTCGACATGAAATCCGGGGGGCCCACGCTCGTTACCAGGTCCGTCGGCGACGACATTAGGTGCAGAAGGAGGAGGCTGTCTCGCGCCATTCAACAGGTCCAACGCGGTCAATGTTGCGTTTCCGCCATTTCGACGTGGCGATCTTGAGCGATCGCGGGAGGAAGATGCGCGATCCTCATCTCTTGGCGGGGAAGCACGCCTTCCGCTGCTGCGCGTAACCATTCGTGGAGCGGGGGGTCGGCCGGTTATTGCGGAAACAAAGCCAGACGCCATGGTTGAAAACCTGACGTTGATCATGTCGTTGATTAAAGTGCTCCTATGCCCAACTCTAGGCATAGGAGGGGTTTAGGGAGTGTGCTGGTGGTAAGCAAATTGGAGATCTGAAAATGCAAATGAGACTAGGTGGCAGGTCTGAGAGACCTGCGGGAATGAAAAGGAGTTTGTCTCCTTTACAGCAAACTCCTCTTCTAGTCGAATCACAATCTTCAAATTTTTAGAAGTTGAACTTTAAAATTTTTACATATTGTATGTTCCACTTTTGCCATTTCAACCGAGTCGAAAATTTTCGCGTCACAATGCAGAATCTCCTGCTAGCGATTCTCTTCCAGCACATAGGGGCCAAGATGCAACACTTTGCAGTCATGCCAGCACATCCTGGACGCGCAGCCAGTCAGGTCTTCGAGAGTCAAACTCAGCGAAAATGAGATTGTACTCGCTTCAAAATTGAAACTCGCTACCGTTTCGAACAGAAATTTTAATTTAAAATTGTACATGCGTTTATAATAAGTAACGTTTTCACAGAGGGTGCGTTTATAATTGAGGATCGGCCATAAGCGCATTGCTCCAGATAGAAGCGCATGCGCATATAATAGGTCTGTGTTTCTATCCGGGGTGATACGGTACCATATCAGAATCCAAACCACTAGACCATTGGGATAAAAGGGCTTGTTAAGTAGCGGGTCAGTGCGCCCATAACCCCCCAGGCCAACGTGCCTGTAACCCTTCCCTAGGATCAATCGGGGATCACCAGTGGACCTCTGACATTAGTGTGTAATTAAGTGCTGGCACAAGGTATCTACGCCAATCCAAGCAAAGCTGAGAAAGATTGGAGGCACATGGAGGCCACGGCTATAAGCCTCGTGCTGGTTACGCTCAATTTCCGTAGGATGGTAGCACACATGGTACCATGCAAAGGCTCGCGCTCGAATGGTTGCCATGTCAAGGCTGGCTGAGTCATCCATGACCTGGTGATGCATGTGCGCACACACACACGCACCCACAAACAAGCACATCCACGCGCACACTCACGCACGCACGCACGCACGCACGCACACATGCAATACACAATGCACACATGTTCATGCACGCAAACGTAAACATTAAGTCAAAAGCGACATTTGCAGATTCAGCGACTGATCATGCGAGCATCCTGCAACTAGTTGATGCAGTAAGGTGGCATGAACTCAGCACTTGTTGGTCATCTATTGAGCTACTTCTCGAGAACGGACATGGCTGAAGAGCGCAGCTGTACAACGCATGGAGACCCATGCACACATGGAGGACAACACGTGTGCAATGCGCATCAACAACCCCACCAACCTGCGGTGCCAGGGGCTGCTGCTGGCCCCTGCCGTGCTGCCGAGGGAGGCGCGGATCCCCGAATGAATCATCAACGCGCTCCTCCCCGTCCCCCCCCCCACGCTCCCCGCCATCCCTCTCCCCGCGCTCCTCCCCATCCTCCCCCTCAGCGTCCACGCCATACACGAGCAGGCGGTGGTAGCGGTGGCGCAGCGACAGGAACATGTTGCGCACATGCTCCCTCACCGCCTCCTCCCGCCGCCCGTGGCGGTGTGCGGCGTGCAGCAGGCTGCCCGACACCACCTCTGCCTCCGACATGATGCCAAACTGGCCGGGGAGGGCATGGGTGCACAAACGTAGGCACTCATGGGAACACTCACGTGCTACACACTTGAAGGGTCAACGACAGCGGTACTTTGCCACTGTTTGAGTTGGACAAGCGACAGGGGGTGAGCGAGGGACTGGGAGGGAGGGAGAGGTGAAGGGCAACAGGTCAAGAGCATGCGATTGAGCATAATGACAGACAGAGGTGCAGCATGAGCGCACCTGGTGCAGGATGTGCAATGGCGCACCTGGTGCAGGATGTGCAATGGCGCACCTGGTGCAGGATGTGCAATGGCGCACCTGGTGCAGGATGTGCAATGGCGCACCTGGTGCAGGATGTGCAATGGCGCACCTGGTGCAGGATGTGCAATGGTGCACCTGGTGCAGGATGTGCAATGGCGCACCTGGTGCAGGATGTGCAATGGCGCACCTGGTGCAGGATGTGCAATGGCGCACCTGGTGCAGGATGTGCAATGGCGCACCTGGTGCAGGATGTGCAATGGCGCACCTGGTGCAGGATGTGCAATGGCGCACCTGGTGCAGGATGTGCAATGGCGCACCTGGTGCAGGATGTGCAATGGCGCACCTGGTGCAGGATGTGCAATGGCGCACCTGGTGCAGGATGTGCAATGGCGCACCTGGTGCAGGATGTGCAATGGCGCACATGGTGCAGGATGTGCAATGGCGCACCTGGTGCAGGATGTGCAATGGCGCACCTGGTGCAGGATGTGCAATGGCGCACCTGGTGCAGGATGTGCAATGGCGCACCTGGTGCAGGATGTGCAATGGCGCACCTGGTGCAGGATGTGCAATGGCGCACCTGGTGCAGGATGTGCAATGGCGCACCTGGTGCAGGATGTGCAATGGCGCACCTGGTGCAGGATGTGCAATGGCGCACATGGTGCAGGATGTGCAATGGCGCACCTGGTGCAGGATGTGCAATGGCGCACCTGGTGCAGGATGTGCAATGGCGCACCTGGTGCAGGATGTGCAATGGCGCACCTGGTGCAGGATGTGCAATGGCGCACCTGGTGCAGGATGTGCAATGGCGCACCTGGTGCAGGATGTGCAATGGCGCACCTGGTGCAGGATGTGCAATGGCGCACCTGGTGCAGGATGTGCAATGGCGCACCTGGTGCAGGATGTGCAATGGCGCACCTGGTGCAGGATGTGCAATGGCGCACCTGGTGCAGGATGTGCAATGGCGCACCTGGTGCAGGATGTGCAATGGCGCACCTGGTGCAGGATGTGCAATGGCGCACCTGGTGCAGGATGTGCAATGGCGCACCTGGTGCAGGATGTGCAATGGCGCACCTGGTGCAGGATGTGCAATGGCGCACCTGGTGCAGGATGTGCAATGGCGCACCTGGTGCAGGATGTGCAATGGCGCACCTGGTGCAGGATGTGCAATGGCGCACCTGGTGCAGGATGTGCAATGGCGCACCTGGTGCAGGATGTGCAATGGCGCACCTGGTGCAGGATGTGCAATGGCGCACCTGGTGCAGGATGTGCAATGGCGCACCTGGTGCAGGATGTGCAATGGCGCACCTGGTGCAGGATGTGCAATGGCGCACCTGGTGCAGGATGTGCAATGGCGCACCTGGTGCAGGATGTGCAATGGCGCACCTGGTGCAGGATGTGCAATGGCGCACCTGGTGCAGGATGTGCAATGGCGCACCTGGTGCAGGATGTGCAATGGCGCACCTGGTGCAGGATGTGCAATGGCGCACCTGGTGCAGGATGTGCAATGGCGCACCTGGTGCAGGATGTGCAATGGCGCACCTGGTGCAGGATGTGCAATGGCGCACCTGGTGCAGGATGTGCAATGGCGCACCTGGTGCAGGATGTGCAATGGCGCACCTGGTGCAGGATGTGCAATGGCGCACCTGGTGCAGGATGTGCAATGGCGCACCTGGTGCAGGATGTGCAATGGCGCGGGGTCATGCAGCTGCTGCTGCTGCTGCTGCTGCTGCCACGCACCCGTGGCGTGCTCGGCAGGACCAGCAGCCCCCTGCGCCTCCACGCGCTGCATGACCCCGCGCGGCCACACGGCCACCATGCCCTTCACCCCCGCATACCGGATCTGAAACGCCGACGGCGCACGCAGCCACACCCCCGCGCCCCCCCCCACAGGCAAGTGAGTACGGTGAGGGGCAGCAGAGAGCGGCCTGTCGAGGTAGGGCGCTATGGCATCCGCAAGCGCCCTGGCGGCCTCAGGGGTCACGGCACCAATGCCGTCCGTGAAGCAGAAGCCGTGGCGTGTGACGTCCGGGAGATTGCGCACGTGGGCGCGAGGCAGGGGCAGCGAGGTGAAGCGCGAGGAGAAGCACTGGCCCCGTTGCGAATGGCGGTGAAGGTGCCCATCCACGCCTGGCGCCATGGGCCCAGTCCAAGCCGCGTCCCCAGCACAGCATCGGCAACAACACCGCACACCCCCATGGCTCACTCCCAATTATGTACCACAGAAGCACGCACACAGGCACACACATAGACCGACTCACACGGCAGTGGGTGAATGACAATTAAGCTAGCCGGTTGACAAAGTGAGTGACTCATCACCTATGCCACTAACTGACAGACCGACTGACTTATCAACGTTTGTGCTGACTGACAAGCTTAAAGAATGCGTGACTAACCAATGGATAGCCTGGCGAGCTGAGTACTAGACAGGCCGACTACATGGGCGACTGACTGCCTCTCACTGACTCATGGGCCGTCTGACTGGGTGACCCATGGACTGGTGAGTCAGCGGCCAAGCATGAGCGCACCTGCACGGCGGCGATGGTGAGGCCGTGGGTGGCGTCCTCCGCCAGGAACCACGCCGACTTCTCCCTCAGCTGCGACGCTGACGACGCCAGGAAGCGGTAGCGCCGACCACACAGCTCAAAGCCCTGCCACGCCACACACGGGTGCAGGGGGCGAGAAGGGTGGATGGACGCAAGGCCGTGGCGGCAGTTGAGACACTAAAGATCTGGAGAGCTATTAAACGGCGAGCTGAGCCAACAAAGTTCACAAAGAATGCATCTCTCACCTGCTACACCACACCTGCAACCCCCACACGTGCTAACCCCTTCACCCTGCTCCATCCCCCACTCCCCCCCCACCTGGTTGACGAGCTTCAGAATGCGGTGGTACACGTCGGTGCGCGCGCTGTGTTGCGCCTCCTCCGCACGGTAAGCGCCGCCCACCAGGACGAACGACGCCAGCTGCCGCTCACCCTCCTCCGTGAAGGTCACGCGCAGGAAGCGGTGCGCGTGGGGGCGGTAGTTCGCGATGACTCGGTTCGCCAGCTCCACACTGGGCAGGCAGCACTGCGCGGCCAGGGGAGTGACGATGAGGCGGAACACCAACACGTGGTTCTCGGGTAGCACCCACGGCCACGCCGAACCCTCACTCTGCTCCACCGCCCCCTCTGCCTCCCGCCCCGCCTTCTTCTCCTGCCCCGTCTCCTCCTCCTCTCCCCCACGCCGCTCCTCATGCTCCTCCGCAGTGCCCTGCTGCTGCACCACCTCTCCCCGGCGCCGTGACCGTGTCCCCTCTGCCGCCCCTCCCCCCGCCTGCCCGCCGCCTCCCTCCAACCGCTCGCGTCGCCACGGCAGCTTGCCTTGGTGGCGCATGGCGCGTGCGACGCGGGTGAACTGGCCAGCGGGGTCGAACTCGGGGCGGGCGTAGCGCATGAACTCCAGCAGCACCGCCACCGCTGCTCGTGGTGCCTCGCGTGCCAGCGTGCGGTACAGGGGGGTGGTCACGGCAGTGAGGGGGATGGTGCCGCGCTGCACCAGCAGCGTCAGCACGTACAGCACTGGAAACGCCAGATCTGCTGCCTGCGCACCCCGTCTGCCCCCGCTGCTGCCGGTGACGGTGGTGGTGGTGGCGCGGCCAGTGGAGGGCCAGCGAGGCGGCAGGCAGACGAAGGGGGCGATGGTGATGGGCGGGTGCGGGCGGAAGAAGGACGTGGTGATGCTGTGGTGAGGCGGGCCCAGGTACCTCGGCCTGCACCACAGCCCCACTGTGCGCATGCGCTCTGCTATCTCCCTCACCTTCCCGCTACTCTCCCTCCCCACAGATACCTGCACTACCATTGAACCCACCCCTAGCACCCCTCCTCCCCACCCCCCGTCCCCCACTGCGCCCACTGCGCCAGTGCGTGGTGCGGCGGGGGCGAGGCGGAGGTCGGTGGAGCGGGTCCAGGGGTCGCTGTCGTCGGGGAACCATGCGCACGGGTCGCGCTGCCACACATCGTCGTCGCACGCCCGCGTGAACACAGCGGGCGGCACGGCGGGCAGCAGCAGCAGCGGCGGGCGGCGCTCAGAGGGCCTGCCTCTGTCTCTGCGGCGGTGGGGGGCGTCCCACAGGCGCACGTCCCTCATGCGCCAGTCCAGGCGGTGCTGCAGTCGCTGGCAGGAACCTGCCATGCCCTCCGGAGAGGAAGCAGCAGCAGCGCCACGCCCACCTGCACTGTGCTGCCACGCTTCACCCCCATCGTCTGAGTCTGAATCCCCCCATGCATCACCCACCCCCGCTGCTGCTGCTGCAACTCCCGCTCTCCCTCCCAAGCCACCCCGCCCTCTCTCCGTGCCCCCGCCCCCCACCAGCACGCGCACGCGTCTCTCCACAAAGTCAAACTCCACCCGACACTCCGCCACCTCGGACTGCCACGTCACCGCCAGCTGGCCGGGCCGTTGGATGAAGCCCACGTGGACAGTGGCGGGGTGCAGCAGCCCCTCGGGCGCGCGCCTGTGCTCCGCCACGCGCTGCACGCCCAGCACGCGCCCGCCCACATGCAGCGGGGCACCGGCGCGTTCACAGCGCAGCAGCGAGTCGGCGGCCTCTGGGGAGAGCAGGTCCGCGTACGCCACCCCCAGCGACGCCCATTGCTGCCGCGCGCCACCCACCACGTCCCCCACGCGCGTGCACCCCTTGATCGTCACGCGCCCCACCGCGTCCCCCACTGCGCCACGCAGCACGCCAGCCAGGACCTCCGCGGAGGCCTCCGCGGGGACGCCCTCCACGCGCACCCGCGCGCTCCGCCTGCCCCTGCCGCCCCGTCCTCTGCCACCGCGCCCACCGGCGCCGCCGCCTCTGCCTGGGCGGCGCGTGAAGATGTTGCGCGCGCCCAATCCGTTCGGTGCGGAGAGCACCTCCGCGAGGAGGGCGAGAAAGGAGTCCGCACTCCCTGTGCCGTCCATGCTCGCGCGCTTTGCTTCCCCGCGCCGTCCGCAATCTTGGAGAGGTTCTACCACTCCCACGCCGCTGCCCTCCAAACAACCACTGCAGTCACCGAAGCGGCTAAGCGACTAGCGCCGCTGCTTCAACTCTCGCCGCCGCACTCACGCCAAACTGTTTAATCAATTGTTAACCTCGCTTTCACATCCCCTCCCGCGCGTACGCTCAGTGCTTCTACTCGCACGGCCCTCGCTTCGCCTCGCAGCATGGATCCCACTCCCGGCGTGCGTTCACTCATCTGCCTCCGCCTTTTCCAGGGCTGCCCCGTGCGCGGTGGTGCAGCGCGGAGGGCGGAAGGAAGCCATGGGAAGCGGCGGAACACTTCCGCCAAGCGGAATCGTGCGAGCGGGCGCGCGCGCAGCGTGACCGTATGGGTGGATGAAGAGGCAGCATGAGCGAGGGGAAAAACTGAGGTAAGGCTATGCGATGTCACCAAGGGCTCGGATGGTAGCATGGCGACTGGGACGAGCCTTGGCGCACTTGTACACGAAAGGACGCATGTGACTGTGCAAGCATACAAATTCAGATGAAAGTTGCATCAACAATTCATGGATGAATTTTTACTCCCCAAACATTTCCCGTTGCTTTCGACTGAATTCGTACGCTTTTGGGACTGCGCGAGCTCGTTTGCATTTGGTGAATTGTATTTACAGCATATAAAAACGTCACATGGATTTCTCTCCTCACACCCTTCTTCTATAGCTTGACTTCCATGGATTTCGGTCCTTCAGAGATTTACAACATTACAACACTAGCGTCGGTTTTAGAGTTAACTTTAGCATTCCCAAAGGTGCAGCTGTATCGCACCCGCCACTACCAAAGCAACAACTGCAGCTGTCAAACTGTTAAAATGTTTAAGTTGTGTAGGCTGTAGTGGGGTAGCCCGTAAGGGGTACAACCCAATTAGGGTTAGTACTTATACCAACTTTCTTCTCAATGCATTCATTCTCGTTCTGCATTATGACGTGGTGGTATCAGAGCAGGTCCTGTTCTAGGACCGTTCTATTAGGGCTCACCGGATAGTTCCCTGCCCGTAGCGCGTTACCCTGCTCGTAGCCCCCTACCCTGCCCGTCGTGCAGCCCCACCAGTCACGTTGCCCTGCCCTGCCCGCGCGCCGCCCTCAAGCCGCCGTCCTGCCCTGCCCTGCCTGCGTGCCGCCATGCTGGCCGCCGCCCTGCCCTGTCCTTCCCGCGCGCCGCCCTGCTGGCCGCCGCCCTGCCCTGCCATTTGTGCCGCCCCGCCCTGCCCAGTGGGCTTCCCTAGCGCTTGCGCGCTGCACTGCCCGTCGCGCCGTCCTTGCTTGCGTGCTGCCCTGCTGCTCGCGCGCCACCCTGCTCTGCCCGCTATGGCTACTCTCAGCATCTTCACATTCGATCCAAAGGGTTGTCCGATCCAGTTCGATACGTGGCTCGATGACTTACAGTTGTTCCTACTGAGCGATTCTAGAGACGGCGTTTCGTTGTTTGACCACACACCTGGAGCCTCTCTCGCCCCTCCCGACACAGCTGACAGTGCGACTCACTCACAGTGGCTTACCCGTAACGCTGCAGCTCGCCTAGCCGTTCGCAACCACCTACCGTTAGCCGACCGCGCTCACTTTGGCCAGCACAAGAGTGCTAAAGCCCGATACGATGCTGTAGTCGCTCGTTACTCCTCCCCTGCCACTGCTGCTCTCGGCCGCCTTGTACTGCCCTACCTTTTTCCCGAGCTGTCCACCTTTGCCACAGTCGACGACCTAGTCACCCACCTTCACACTAGTAACACTCGCTACCGCGCCACGCTTCCCACCAAGTTTCTAGACAAGAACCTTGCCCCCATGAACATCGCTCTTTACTTCATCGTCACCCGCCTCCCTGACTCTCTTAGCGCAGTCAGGGACCTCTTTCTCGCCATGGACCCCACGGCCTCATTGTCGACCTGCTCAAGAAGCACCTCCTTGCAGCTGAGGCCAGCATAGTCGCTGTAGGTGCTGCTCGTGGCACTCCTCGCACTCCCTTCTTTAAGGGGTGTTCCCCCCCCCCCCCCTTGCCCCCTCCTACACATTTGCTACTGCTGTTGACTTCCTTCGTGCTGAAGAGGTCGGGGCTGCGTCTGCTCCTAATGGGAGGCGCCGCAGCTGCAGGGGCAAGGGAGGCAAAGGTGGTGGGGATGGCAGAGGTGCAGGCGGTGATGGAGGCGGTGGAGGCGGTGGAGGTGGCGGTGGTGGCAGAGGGAGTGGTGGTGAGAGTGGAGGCATTGGTGGTGGCGGTGGTGGCGGCAGTGAAAGTGGTGGCGGCGGCAGTGGTGGCAGCAGTGGTGGCGGTCATGGTGGAACTGGTCAGAGGGGAGGTTCTGGCGGTGGTCAGAGGCAGCAGCAGCAACGTCCGCGTGAGACCCCTACGCCCTAGGAGCTTCGTGAGTGGTTTGCTCATCGTGGGGCGTCCGGGGGAAGTTTTCGCTGCCACTACGTCATTCGCACAGGTGAGCGCGCTGGTCAGACATGCGGGAAGGTTGGTCACACACAGTCGCGCTGCTGCTCCCGTCTTGACGACGCCTGGCGCGTTGAGTTTCCCGATGCGACTGAGCTCCCCTGCTATCTAGCGCATATTAGGCAGGGTGTGGATATCTTTGCTCTTGACTATGACACTATCCTTGCTGCCATGCATGCTTTGACTGTTAGTGCTGAGGGTGACTGTTACCTATGTGTGCCGCCCGACCCAGGTATAGAGGCTGCTGCTCTAGGTGCTAGTGAGTCTGCTCTCCTTGGTACTGCGCCTGCTGAGGCCTTGCACACATTCACGTTTGACTCATGTGCTTCCCGCTGTTTCTTTCGTGACAGTACCACAGTCACACCACTCCCTGCACCTGTTGTTGTCAGACTGGCTAACCCCTCAGGGGGCCTAGTTCTTGCACGTTCCTCCACTATTCTCCTGTGTCCGGCAGTTCCGTCCGGCTCACTCTCAGGTCTTCACCTCCCCTCGTTCTCTACGAACTTGGTGAGTATCGCTGCCCTCCAGGATGCGATGGTCACTACCACCACTCCTGGGGGTCAGCGTGTGTCGATCTGCACATATACACGGACGGGCCGTCACGTGCTCACGTTCACCCGTCGGCCTGGGTCGAGTCTGTACACACTGACTACTAAGCCTCATCAGGTAGCTGCGTCTGCGTCCGAATCAGGTCAGCTAGCAGCCCCCTGTTCGTGTCGCCTCCCGTCGCACCAGACTCTCCTTTGGCACCACCGCCTTGGTCACCCCTCCTTGCCACGCCTCCGTGGCATGCACTCCCGCCTCCTTGTCTCTGGTCTTCCCAGGTCTCAGCCTCCCCTCCCACCCTCTCCTGCCCCTCCCTGCCTTCCCTGTGTCGAGGGGCGGCAGCGCGCCGCTCCTCACTCCTCCTCGTTTCCCCCGATGACTGCTCCCCTGCAGACTCTCCACATGGACGTGTTGGGCCCAGCCCGCGTCCGTGGACAGGGCCGCGAGCGATATTGTCTGCTGGTTGTTGACGACTACTTGCGTTACACCACAGTCTTCCCCTTGCATAGCAAGGGGGAGGCCCCTGATGTTTTGACCCCTTGGATCCGCGCTGTCCTTCTCCAGCTCCACGAGCGGTTCCACGCGGACCTTCTTGTCCTACGTCTGCACTCTGTTAGAGGTGGTGCGTTTGCCTCCGACCTCTTGTCGGACTTTTGTCGTGGGGAGGGCATCCGCCAGTCGTTCACGCTTCTGGCCTCTCCGCAACTGAATGGGGTTGCTGAGCGCTGCATTGGCTTAGTCATGGAGGTCGCTCGTACCTCCATGATCCATGCGGCTGCTCCCCATTTTCTGTGACCGTTTGCGGTCCGGTACGCTATGCATCAGCTCAACCTCTGGCCCCGTGTCTCCTTGCCGGAGACCTCGCCTACACTGCATTGGACGGGGAAGGTTGGCGATGCGTCGGTGTTCCGGGTGGGGCTCTCGTGCCTTTGTCCGCAATACTTCCGCGAACAAGCTCTCCTCCCGCGCCATTCCCTGCGTCTTCCTTGGCTCCCCCCCTGACGCGCCTGGCTGGCACTTTTACCACCCCACCTCGCGCTGTGTCCTGACCTCTTAGGATGTCACGTTTGACGAGTCGGCTCCCTTTTACCTTCTCTTCCCCTACCGCACTGCCCCTCTCCCCCCCCCAACCGCTCTTCTTAGCTCCAGGTCCCCCTCCGATAGACCCCCTCCCCACTCAGGATCCTGCTCCCTCAGGTGTGTCTCAGATAGACCCACTCCCCTTGGCTGAGCCTGTCGAGGTAGCACTCGACTTTGGTGCTGGTGGGGGTGGTGCTGCTAGGGGTGCTGCGTCTGGGGGTGCTGAGCCTGAGCGTGCGGAGCCTGGGGGTGCTGAGCTTGGGGTTGCTGAGGGTGAGGGTGCGGAGCCTGGGGGTGCTGAGCGTGGGGGTGCTGAGCCTGAGCATGAGGAGCCTGGGGGTGCTGAGCCAAAGGGTGCAGAGCTTGGGGGTTCTGAGTCTGGGGGCGCTGAGCCTAGAGGTACTGTGTCTGCTGGAGGTCCTACGGGTGCCTCGTCACGGCGGGAGCCTCTCTCTCCAATGCAGCTGCGCGAGTGGTTTGCTCGGCGCACCCAACTTCGGAGTGGCACTGCTGGAGCTGGGGGGGACTGCCGCTGGAGGCACTGGAGCTGGAGGCGCTGGAGCTGCTAGTCCTGGAGGTGCTGGCGGTCTTGCTAGAGCTGGAGGTACTGGAGCTGCCGGAGGTGCTGGAGCTGCTGGTCCTGAAGGTGCTCGTGCTGGAGGTACTGGAGCTGCCGGAGCTGGTGGTGCTGCTGGTGCTCGAGGTGCTGGAGGTGCTGGCGGTCCTACTAGAGCTGGAGGTACCAGAGGTGCTGGAGCTGCTAGTCCTGGAGGTGCTCGTGCTGGAGGTACTGGAGCTGTCGGAGCTGGTGGTGCTGCTGATACTCGAGGTGCAGGAGGTACTGGAGGTGCCGGAGCTACTGGTCCCG